TGCAGCAGGGGGACAAGATGAGGGACCTGGCGCCCCCCGGCCATGCGGCGGGGGAGCCCTGACCTGTGGGCGCCCCTCGCGGAGGAAGGGTCATCACTTTCGAGGGGTGCAGGGGGACAAGATGAGGGACCTGGCGCCCCCCGGCCATGCGGCGGGGGAGCCCTGACCTGTGGGCGCCCCTCGCGGAGAAGGAAGGGTCATTGCGGTTGACGCCGGAGGCCCCAGCAGACGCGGGGCAGGGCACTCCCTGCGCCTCTTAGCGGGGCGGACAGGATTTGCTCGCCTGTCTCTGAATCCTGGGACGCGGGCAGGAGACTTGGCACCGTTTAAAGGGCTCGCTGTGTCCGGAGGGAGACTTACTGTGACAAAGGCCAGGGCGATGTCTGTGGCTTTTAAGCCAATGGCATCACCGCCAAGTGCCTTTGAGGGGTCAGCCCACGTGTTCATTCTCACCCCGGGACAGCCACTCTCAAGGGCCTCATCTCCAACCCCCAGATGAGGTCACTGCCCAGGGGCCCTGGGCTGGGCAGTGGCAACATGGCTGTGTTAGGGGCAGAAATAGAATTTTGCATCCATTCTCATTCAAGAACTGCCTATGATCGTGGAAAGATTTAACAACCTTGTTGCCCAAACAATCGAGTCCCCCTCCAGCCTGCATTGCCTAGCTCCCCAAGCCTGGAATTCCCACGTCCCCATGTAATCTTGGTCCTTCTACCCTATATAAGCAGCTGGCTTATGGGGGGTGGGGGGTTGCAGAGCAGGTTTTTGTGAATGACCGCCCCCCCCCCCCAAAGCAAGATTGGAATAAATGCTCATCTAGGATTCAACCCTGTGTCTGCTGAATTGGCTCGAGTAGTGGCAGGCAGCCCGGACCCATTTGGTTGTCCGTTTACAGCCGGACTCAAAGGTCACCTCCCTGCCCTTGGTTTGTATCGGACACGTCGGGGAAGGGCCTCGGTCATGGGAGAGAGAAGTCAGGGTGTGTGACCAGGAATAAAGAGATTGTGGAGTTTTAGAGCAGAGACAGGCTCTGGAAGACTCCCCATCTGCACATCGCCTTTCTCCCAGGTTGGAGCAGGAGAAATCGAAACCTCTCCAAACCACGCAATCGCTTTTACACAAGTTTTCCTTCTTCCCATCTCAGATTCCACACGCCTGTGAACAGGCCAGCACTGTAGGCAGAGCCTGCTCTGGCACATTCCTTTACAATCGCTAATCTCTGTTTAACGTGCATTCCAGCCGTCCAGGTAGAAAAGCCAGAATTTCTGCTGAAGACCTGAGTTTTCGGTTCTGGGAGTCCCTCCTCCCACAGGTGAGAAATAGAAGCAGTAACCTGACTAGACAATTCCCACAACGACCCTCCCCCCCTTTTTAAAAAATATATATTTTATTGATTTTTTACAGAGACGAAGGGAGAGGGATAGAGAGTTAGAAACATCAATCAGCTGCCTCCTGCCCCACTGCTGCTGGGGATGTGCCCGCAATCAAGGTACATGCCCTTGACTGGAATTGAACCTGGGACCCTTCAGTCCACAGGCTGACACTCTATCCACTGAGCCAAACCAGTTAGGGCAGGGGTAGGCAAACTTTTTGACTCGAGGGCCACAATGGGTTCTTAAACTGGACCGGAGGGCCGGAACAAAAGCATGGATGGAGTGTTTGTGTGAACTAATATAAATTCAAAGTAAACATCATTAAATAAAAGGGT